TCTCACACACACACACACACACACACACACACACACTCAGACACTCTCTATCACACACACACTCACACTCACTCACTCACTCACACACTCACACACTCTCACACACACACTCTCACACACACACACTCACACACACACACACTCACACACACACACACTCACACACACACACACTCACACACACACACACTCACACACACACACACTCACACACACACACACTCACACACACACACACTCACACACACACACACTCACACACACACACACTCACACACACACACACTCACACACACACACACTCACACACACACACACTCACACACACACACACTCACACACACACACACTCACACACACACACACTCACACACACACACACTCACACACACACACACTCACACACACACACACTCACACACACACACACTCACACACACACACACTCACACACACACACACTCACACACACACACACTCACACACACACACACTCACACACACACACACTCACACACACACACACTCACACACACACACACTCACACACACACACACTCACACACACACACACTCACACACACACACACTCACACACACACACACTCACACACACACACACTCACACACACACACACTCACACACACACACACTCACACACACACACACTCACACACACACACACTCACACACACACACACTCACACACACACACACTCACACACACACACACTCACACACACACACACTCACACACACACACACTCACACACACACACACTCACACACACACACACTCACACACACACACACTCACACACACACACACTCACACACACACACACTCACACACACACACACTCACACACACACACACTCACACACACACACACTCACACACACACACACTCACACACACACACACTCACACACACACACACTCACACACACACACACTCACACACACACACACTCACACACACACACACTCACACACACACACACTCACACACACACACACACACACACACACATTACACGCCTGTAATCTGACCGATCTAAATGTAAATCTGAGTGTTTCTGATGTTTTAGGGCCTTATGAATCCGTTCCTGACCAAAATCACTTCTGAGGATCATTACCAAATCTAGAGCTTCGAGCAATATGATTTACACCAGACGTCCTCAGGGCAAACACTCGTTTAGTTCAGTTTTGGGGGTTATTTTTTTACACAGGTTATTTGAGTTTCTCGGTTTCAGAGTGCCACTATCAACACTCTCGAACTCATGCTGTATTGCCTTAAATATAATGTAAGCATCTATTATTCTAACATGAACTGTATATTTATAATGTTTTATTTAATGTAATTGCTGCTGTACATTTACTAATCAATTGGATAGGGGCTAAATAATTTAACAAATGTATTGTATTAAATGTATGGAAGCCTGTTTCCGCCACAAAATAAAAAAGTAATTACGACTTTTTATCAAACAATTCTGACTTTTTTTTTTTTGGGTGAGATATAAACTTAGAATTCAGAGGAAAAGAGGGTCAAAATTGCAGTCAAAACTCAAAATTACGAGAAAGTCAGAATTCTATATATCTTCCAATTAGAGTTTATATCTCATAATTCTGAGTTTAAATCTCGTGATTTGAGTTTATATCTCATAATTCTTAGTTTAAATTTCGCGATTTGAGTTTATATTTCATAATTCTACGTTTAAATCTCACAATTTTAGTTTATATCTCATAATTCTGAGTTTAAGTCTTGCGATTAGAGTTTATATTTCATAATTCTGAGTTTAATTCTCATGATTAGTTTATATCTAATAATTCTTAGTTTTTCTCACGATTAGAGTTTATATCTCATAATTCTGAGTTTAATTCTCACGATTAGAGTTTATATTGTAACTTCTCTTTCTTTTATTTTTAGATTAGCCACAAATGAGGGTTCATCACTAAGATCAAATAAAGCAATTTATGAACTTCAGCAAACAGTCTTTCTTTTTTTTGTTGTTGTTGTTTTATTCCCCCAATGCTAAATGGGTTCAAGTGAAAACTAATTATAATCTATACATAATAAAGAACTAATAAACAAAATCAAAACCTGGTCCTTGATTTTACACCAAAGAAATAGTCTTTTAGTTCTTATCTGAGACATGATGATCCATTCCGTGGCAAAAATGAGTTATTCTTTCCTCAGAAAAACATTGAGTGCGTTGAAATATGTTGATCTGCTTTAGCATGGACAACTCCGACTAGCATATGACCAAACCATACTCACTGGCGTCTGTCTGGACTTTAAAAGCACGGTTAAAATCAGGTGAGACTAAAACCGGAGTACTGATGAGATCTTGTTTGATTGTCTCAAAGGCTCGTTGGCAATCTTCAGACCAGATCTATTTTGCACCTTTTTTCTTTAGAGCGTGAAGTGGAGCAGCTTTCTCAGAAAAATTCTTTATAAACCTGTGATACCAGCCTGAAAGACCCAGAAATCTTTGGACCTCCTTGACTGTTGTAGGTACTGGGAATGACTGGACAGCCGATATCTTCTCCGGATCTGTCTTGACTCCATCTGCAGAGATGACATGACCTAAAAATGTCAGTGACGGCTTGATGAAGTTGCATTTCTTCAAATTAAGAGACAAACCCGCTTTCTGAAGACAAGTGAACACTTTCTGGAGATGTTGAATGTGGGTTGAAATAGAAGGAGAGTAAACCACAATATCATCAATGTAGACCATGCAGAATTTGTTTTTGTGCTCTCTTAGCACCTGTTCCATAAGCCTTTGAAAAGATGCTGCTGAGTTTTTAAGGCCGAAGGGTAGACATAAAAATTCATATAATCCTGAAACTGTACAAAACGCTGTTTTTTCAACACTGGACTGTGCCATCTCCATTTGCCAGTACCCACTTTTGAGGTCTAAAGTACTGAAAACCTTGGCTCCTTTCAGTGATTCCATGATATCTGTAATTTGTGGCATAGGATAGGCATCCAGGTGAGTCTTTGCATTCAGTCCTCTGTAATCTACACATAGTCTCATATTCCCATCCTTCTTGTCTACCACTACTACCGGTGATGCCCACGGAGAGGTAGAAGGCTGGATGATTTTCTTTTCAAGCAATTCTTTCACTTGCCCTTCAATAAAATCATTTTTAAAAACAGAGACTTTGTATGGTTTTTTCCTTACCGGCTGCTGATCAGTTGTGATGATCTGGTGTCGTATAATTCGGAGTTTAAATCTCACAATTTTAGTTTATATCTTAATTCTACATTTAAATATCACGACTTGAGTTTATATCTCATAATTCTGAGTTTAAATCTTGCGATTAGAGTTTATGGCCTGGTTTCACAGACAGGGTTTAGACTAAACCAGGAGTAGGCCATAGTTCAATTAGGACATTTAAGTAATTTTTTATAAACGTGCTTAGAAAAAAACATTACTGGTGTGCATCTTAAGACAAAACACAGGCACTGATATATTTTGAGATGAGTCAGTGCAAGTTTCTTTCAATTGAAACAGCTCAGACTTACATTTTAGTCTAGGACTAGGCTTAAGCCTTATCTGTGAAACCATGTTTCACATGCTACTTTAACTTTCCCCAACGCTGGAATTATTGCATTAAATCTAGAAGAAAAAGTTACTTTATCGATTCATGGATGGTTGGATGATAGATAGATATTAAAATATGCTGATGGAACTTGATTGATTAATGTACAACCAATTAATTCATCACTCTTTAGATAGACAGACATAACTTTGTAATGGCTAAAGAAAAGTGAGAAATGTAAGTCTTCAGCTGGAACTGTTCCATAACTGCAGTCCGCGTGAGTGCTCCTATAAATGATGAATGTGGAGTAGCTCGGCATTGAAAAGCCTGTATTGGGAGAGAAATCTCTCTTCCATTAACATGCGTGCGCTTCAAGAGCTCTCTCTCTTTCGTTCCATGGAACAATTTAAGTAATTTTTATTAATGTGCCATAGAAAAAAAACATTACTGGTGCCCATCTTGAGACAAAAGAAAGGCATTGATATATTTTAAGATCAATCAGTGCCAGTTTCTTTCATCTGAAGCAGCTCAGATTTACATTTTAGTCTGGGACTAGGCTTAAGCCTTGTCTGTGAAACCAGGGTATATCTCATAATTCTGAGTTTAAATCTCACGACTTGAGTTTATATCTCATAATTCTGGGTTTAAATCTCATGATTTTAGTTTATATCTCATAATTCTACATTTAAATCTCGCGGTTTGAGTTTATATCTCATAATTCTGGGTTTAAATCTCACAATTTTAGTTTATATCTTAATTCTACATTTAAATCTTCTGAGTTTAATTCTCATGATTAAAGTTTATATCTCATAATTCTACATTTAAATCTCATGATTTGAGTTTATATCTCATAATTTGAGTTTAAATATTGCGATTTGAGTTTATATCTCATAATTCTGAGTTTAAATCGCATGATTTGAGTTTATATCTCATAATTCTATGGTTAAATCTCACGATTTGAGTTTATATCTCATAATTCTACATTTAAATCTCATGATTTTAGTTTATATCTCATAATTTGAGTTTAAATATTGCGATTTGAGTTTATATCTCATAATTCTATGGTTAAATCTCACAATTTGAGTTGATATCTCATAATTCTACATTTAAAACTCAATTTTAGTTTATATCTCATAATTTGAGTTTATATCTCAATTGTTTAAATCTCACAATTTTAGTTTATATCATAATTCTGAGTTTAAATCTTGCAATTTTGAGTTTAATCTCGCAATTCTGAGTTTTTTTTCTCAGAATTGTGTGGAAAAAGTCAGAATTGTGAGATAAAGTCGAAATTACCTTTAAAAAAAGAAAAAAATAATTCTGTGGCAGAAACAAGCTTCCATAGAAATGCATCTTAAATTCTAATGACAGAAATATTATTTATGTCTTATAGAGCTGCATTACATTTTTTTCTTTAATATTGCACATATTGA